ACATCACCATACTGGATTCCAGTGATGTTGGCAATACTAGAATCACTGCTGTATGACTTGTGTTTGCTGCCCAGTGGCTTGATGCTTAACAGCAGCTGCAAAATGGACTGGATTCTGATGAATTTCCTAGTTGAGGCTGGTCGGTGGTGGGTAGCAGCGTTATAATCTCAGCATTTTTCAGAATTTCCCACATCCTCAGCCAGTGATCCTGGAGTGATCACTTTCTTTGGAAGTACTGCACTGCAGCCTGAAAAGATGCAGGTTATGAATAATTTTGGGTTTCAAATCTCTTCCCAGGTTAAGAGAACTCATTTTTAGCAAAAACTATCTGCCTTTTTCTGATATGTCTGGTATGACCACAAATGGAAAAAAGATACCAGGTTTTAGAACCCGCCGGACCTGATCCAATGCTGTGCTTAGTTTGGAAAGGATATAAACTTTTAACTTGCATGATATGAAGTGCAAGCCCAAGGCTAATGTGAGAACATGCGGCATAGGCATTCGGAGCATTTTTGAGCCTGCCAAGTATCGATTGGTAATGGAAGGGAATGAGTGGAGAGGCATTTCAGTTTGGCACCCATATGTGATTCTGGTGCTGTCACAGTGAATTAGCAGGACTTTCTTTTCCCTGTAGTCAATCCCAGGCTTTTGTCATTGAAGTATCCCCTTTGCTCATATCAACTGGTTAAAGTGGAAAAAAACCCAAATAAATTCCCAGAACTTTTGCCCCCAAAAAGCCTGATTATGTTATGCTGCTATCCTCTGAATGGAGGCTGAACGGTACTAACAATTGTCGCAGCATAAATGTGGCACAGGATTCAAGCTACAATTACTCAATTGGCACAGTCACTTAATCCACTAATGGGGAGAAATGTGGCAACAGTTTAAGAAGGCAAGAGAACTGTCAGAGATTATTAAATCTGTTGGGATCATTTGATTTAGTAGTCTGTCTTGACCCAAGTACATGCCTCAGCTAATGCAACAGACTTAATGCCTCTGGTAATTAGAGATGGGTCGTCATTAGTAACTAGAAATTCAGAGCTGTATTTCATCTGGAAGGCAGCATCTTCAACAGGGCTTATTTGTTGCCACTTCAGGATCCTCTGTGAGTCACAAGTGGTACATTGGACTGACTCATTTGTGTGATTTAGCAGAGGCTTTTTAATACATGCTCACTGTTCCATATGAATAGTTTTTCTTAATAGTTGCCTAACAGAAAAAGGCACAATATTGGACAACCTTGTGCAGTTAATACTATTGCTCTTATTTACAAGATGTTGGGGATTTATTTATTGTTGTGCAGTTCACAGTTCAGATTACTTTTGATTGTATATTTGAAATGTCTTTGTCATATCTGTGAAAGTGAAGAACGAAAAGCCAAGCAAGCATGGAAAGCATCAGTAATTGGCATCTTCAGAAGAAACAAGAGCCAGTCTAATACCATTCAAGGGATATATTCACAAAATACTTTTACAAGGGTTTCACAGATCTAAAATCATATTCAGTCCTGCATATTGCCAATGAATGAAAATGATACGCCACAGATTCAGTGTTTTTGAAAATACTAGCAAATTTCTAAATCCTCTTCAAAGAATACTGATAAGTAACTGAAGATGCAGTTACAAAGGAAATTAGCCACAATCTGAACTCCCTTTACAAGGTACTATGAAGTGGGAACTTCATAATATAAAATAATATAAATGAAGTAATGAATAATGAATAATAAATAATATAAATTAAGTGATAGCTGAGTCATTTAATATGATTTTATGCACATCAGCAGGCAGGGAACTGTGACTTGAGAAGACCAAAGTATTGAAGTGTGGCTTGACAATGCTTGAGAGAAACTACATAAATCAATGGATGCTCATCAAGCAGAATTTGGGTGTCTGTGGTTTGCTAGTTCCGTATGTGATGCTGAAAACCTCCTCAGGGACACCATCAAAGAGGGAAGGAAGGTTGCAGTGCTTCAGCAAGAACTGTCTGGGGAAACCGTCTCTCAGAAATATGCCCAGACCCCAGCAGGGGCTTAAGGCACTTCTAACAATCACTAGAAAAGAAAGAGATTCAGAGGTGCCAAAAAAATCGCCATTCTCAGTGTGGATGGGAATTTCCTTAAAGTATACTTGGGAGTTTAATTTGTCAAACTAATCAAGTTCAAAAGCTCTCAACAGTGCTTATGTCTATGATATCTGATGGATTGTGAGCTAACTAGAACTGAAGAGACCTTTTGTGGTTTTGTCTTCACATTGTTGCCTGGCTTCAGCAGAGTGCTTTTTATCTCCATGATGCTATTGTGAGCTTTTCACAAAAGAACAGGTCATCTGGTCCAACCTCCCTGCTCAAGCAGGGTCATCCCAGAGCACATGGCACATGATTGCATACAGACAGTTGTGGAATATTTCCAGTGAGGGAGACTCCACAACCTCTCTGGGCAACCTGTTCCAGTGCTCAATCAGCCCCACATTTAAGTTCTTTCTCATATTCTGGTGGAACTTTCTGTGCATCCATTTCTGCCCATTGCCTCTTGTCCTGATGCATGAAACCACTGAGAAAAGCCTGGCTTCATTCTCTTGATGCCCTCCTGTGCTTCTTGAAGAGTGAGGAAAAAGAAGTAGCCATTCTTCACTCCCTCTTGCTGGTATGCCTGGGCAATTAAGTTGTAGGCTCAGAGGAAGTATTTTCTCAGGAGAGTGTTTATCAGCCTTTGAAGCTTGGATCTATCTCAGATTTTCTCCACTTTAATCTTACTTTATACAAGCATGGTAGAAGGTGCCTGAGAAGGATCAATCTGGTGGAGGTTTCTCTACAGTAACACTACATCAGCTCAATAGACCTCACTGGAGAAGCCTGAATTCTTCCCACTTTGTGTCTACATCCTCTTTTATTTATGCAGATGTTCCAATTTCTGTACTGTCCTCTCTCTTTACTCTTTCCTTCTGATGCAGGTTCTTCCCACAGTAACATTCCCTCTTCACACATGGCCATCTGCCTCTACTTTTCTGCTGCGTTCTATGCTGTCTGGCCCTCATGTGACAAACACAAGTTCTTGTCAGGTCAAGACTGTCAAGACTGGCTGCTGCCTCCCATACCACTCTAAGCTGTATTTTGCTGGTGGTGTAAAGGCCCTTATCAGTTGTAATATTTACTGTCAGCCAAATAGCATTCTTCCCATCCTGTAAGTAGCATAATGTGTGCTACTTATAGGATGGAAATAGTGGATGGATTATAATAATAAGGATTATGAACATAAGGTGTGATATTATATAAAATAAAAATGACCAAAACCACTGCATCTTTCTGCCAGCACCATGTCTCTGGACAGCTGTCATGAGGAGAGACCTTATAGGTGAAAGAAAGAGAGACCCTTAAATCTCTCCTTGCTTCATAATCCATGTCTGAGGTTCTGAGTATTGAAGTTACGTGTGGTGGTGTCAAGAGTGTTAAGGAAGTTGTCTGCTGTATGTGCAGCTGACAGTCAGAAGGGGCAAAAGGGACTTAATGTTTTAGGCGCATGCTTTTAATGGAATCTGACTATTTAAAAGGCTAATTCTCCTCTCTTGTACACTCTGCTTAGATATAATCCCAACCAACCTGCCCCTACAAGTTCTGTTCCGACCTATTATTCTACCTGCCTTCTTTCAGACCCTGTGTTTTTTATGGCTTCCCTAGCAGAGCTCACATAAACTGGTGGCCCCTCAGGGGAAAGATAGCCAGTAAGTCTTGAAGTGAGCAAGAATGTGGTTTGAGTCCCTAAACGCTGGGGAACCAAATCTTTTTTAGTGTCCAACTCTAGTGGAAGCTGGTTTGGGAAGTAAATACTTATACTGTCTTTGGCAAGGAGACCTCGAGTCCCTCAGCAAAAAGACAAAGGCAGCTGTCTGGCAGAGAAAGGTTTACTTTGTAGGTGCTGGAGAAGCAGATGTCCTGCAGGTATTTGTGATCCAGTTAATTACTTAAATTAATGTACTTCGTATATGACTTAATGAAGGACATAATGAAGGACACCTAGCAACAACAGTGCCTGTCTTGAGGTAGCATCCAGTAGCCACACAAGTACTGCCTTTTGCTGGCTGCTGCAGAGGCAGTAAACCAGTCAAGGGATGTCAAAGTTCATTTTCCAGGGGAAATAGTGGTTTTACTCAAAAGCTGAGTGTGCCTTCCTTAATAAGGAATGCTTAACAACATGGGATCTCATCTCTGTACTCTGTCACTCCCTTCCATGTGCTGATGTACCCTTCTTTCTAAAAGCCACCAAGCTTCACTGGATCAATGACGCCTCATCAATTGTTTTTGCTTCTGAATCATCCATATGGGGTTGTTAGCTGAGCTGCTGGTAGAAAACGGGAGGCAGCTTTCTGTCTATTTACTGTAAAGAAAGTGAAGCAAGCTAGAGGAGGGAACAGGCTGTGCAATGTTTACTGTCAATATAGTCAGAGAGAGAGAGGAGATAAAAGGAGAGGGGAGGAGAGAGGAGCAGGGGCTGCAGACTGCAACCCCAGTGAATGACCTGAGTGTAAAAATACCCATGCATTTTCAGGTGGAAAGAGAGTGGGTTAGTCAACAAGGAATAACTGAGAGCATTTAAGAAAGGGTGTAGTGAAGGTCTGGCAAGGCAGAGATGTACTAGTGGCATGCAGAGAATAATGCTGAATTCAGTATGAATGTACTGAAGCTGCACTGCAATCTGAAAAGCACTTCCAGATCTTCCCTGAGACAAAGTGGTTGCTGGGATATTTTTGTGTATGCTTGCATGCAAGATCCACCATTTAAAAGTAATAAGATTAATAATAGCAATTTAACTTAGAGAATAATATTTGGCGCTAGTTTTTCATATGAGCTGGATGTCACCATTGTAGCTCAGACCAGAAAAAGAAAATTATTAGAAATAGGCATACTTCCTTGCTTCTCTCTCCTCTTATTCATCCACAGAGGTTTTAGGTGACCTTCACAGGGCAAGAAGGCTCTGAGCAGCCCTCTGAGTGTTCCTCTACTTCCAGAGGCAGGTGAACGAGTGAAGAGTGAATTCACACTTTAAAGAGCAGCAAAGACCATCTTGCCATGAAACCATTCACAGATGAAGATGTTGAAATCTACATCCAAAGCAAGGTAAGACTTTATCTGACCAGATTTTCTGTCTCCCACACTAGCTGTTGATTCTGAAAGGTGCCAAATTTGACAGTTAGTTGCTCGCCTGCTGTCTTCATTCCTGAGACAAGATTGGGTGAAGTTTCGTGAGAACTGTATTTCTAATGAGATTTCTGTTGCAGAACCATATCTGCTGGTAGCCTAATTTTCAAGGTGCTTGTCCTCTTCTTCTAGGTATCCTGAATTTTTGTTCCTGATCTGCAATCCCAGATGTGAGACTAGCTGTAATTGCCAGCATTTGAATCTAAGGAAAGGTCCTTGCCTCTCTCCCTGTTTGGTGGTCTTGGTTTGACCGAAACAAGACCAACACCAGGCGTTGCCTCTAAGAATGACTCATGTAGGAACTGCAGAGACAGACTGATATTGTTAGAATTCAGTCATCAGTCTGTCACCTCAGCTTAGGATACTTCTCCATATATCATGATTAAAATAATATGTCTCATTAGCACATGCAGACTGGAATCTCATTTTCTATTTTATAAGATATTCCAGCACTCAATTTTTCCCCATTATGAAATGAAACAAAACAGAATAAAATCCTCTGTGAAACAATACTATTTAATAAAAGCTCTAAGTGAGACATAGTATTTTTAAAAATTGATATGTTTCATGGCAGTACTTAGCTAGATGTTGTTTTATAGTGTGATTTCCCCAGCAAAAAGCAAAATACTAAAGTGATAAATAATTTCAAAGTCAGAAAGTGTAAGGCTTTATTTTCTGTAAAGGATCACATATTCTAGTACAATGAAGGGGCTGGTAAGAAAAGTTTGTTTTCTCTATGGAAATGTTTTGGTGTCAAGTATGAAAGTTCTCACAGAAATATATTTTCTTCAGGCATGCAGTGGTGTGCACAGGAAAATGATTCCATGAGAATCTGTTCAGTGAGCTATAACAGCAAATGCTTCTCTGAAGATTTAAAAAGCAGAGTTACAAAGGAGGCAACAGAGGGATCCATGCACAGGAAGATGCTTATATGACAGCCATAGATACAAGGAACAGAAGCAGACTAGTTAAGTGAGGCTTATAGCTGCCAATATTTTAGGTTATACTGAAAGTCTGTTTTCTAGTAGCCCTCAGCTCTGGTGGATTCTTAGTTTCTGCCTGCTCCTGAGTCTCTCGTCCAAGTGATGCTGCCTAACCTTCAGGCAGTTCAGCTTGTCAAATGCTGCCTGTTTTTGGAAATGGGTCAACACCCTGGTGCAATGAATCTCGATAATACCAGAGATTTTGTCCTTATGCCTCTCATCAAAGGAAAAATTTGAATGCATATGGAGTGGATGTAGCTGGGTAAATAAGAGAAAACCCAAATCTTCTTAACAGTTCCTAATAAATCCCAATCCTGCTTCCTTCCCCCTTAATAAAACCTTAATTGGCATTGTTATTCAGGTTTTATGCATTTGTTTTTGCACAATTCCCCAAGTTATGACCTGGTAAGGGGAGTGCCAGACAGAAGTGACTGTCCAGCACACACATTGTCCTTACGATGTCTCTTCTCCCAATGTGTCTATGCTGGTACTAGAAGTATCTGATGCCTTGGCTCTTCAGACTCGTGTTCTGTTTTCTGGTTTTTTGCCCTCTCTACTGTAGGAAGGTTACATTTTCCAACAGGATGACTATGGAGCTAATCATGCTTAATTATAGTGAGCACCCCCTGTCAGTCACGTGCCCATTGTCCTTTTATCCCTGCTCCAGTGATGGGGAGTACACATTGAAAGAGGTGTTTAGTGGTACTCCCTCAACTGCTTTTTGAGTGTGTACTCTTATAAAGAATTCATGACAACTGCTGCAGCCTAGCCACTAGGTGATGAAGGCAGAATTAAATGAGGCCAGGCTGGGTTGAATTATTCTCCCTGGATACTGGAGGTGGCAAAAAATGTTTCCAGCAGGTGCCCCTTAGAGAGAGCACAGTATGAGCAATGCATACACTCTAGGTCTCTGTTTGAGCTGACCTACTGTGACATTGTATACTTTTTATACTTTTCCATTTTAAAAATTCTATTTTGTTGTCTAAAAGCTCTTAGAGATGGACAACTTTCTTTGCTACCCACCATTCACTTGCTGGAGAAACCATTAGGTATCTTGTTGAGCAAGCTTATTGGACTCTTCTAAAGGGTTGTTCTGGATGAACAAAAATAAGGTGGAGAAAATAGATGCAGTATAGTACAGCTAAAATCATTCAGTGTTTTGGGGTTTTTTTAAGTACATGTAAGTAGCTAAAACTGCTCTTAGAGAAAAGGATTAATTGGAATGAGGAGGACGATGAATTACTAGGGAAATTAAAGGACATTATATAAACATAAAGGACTCGGTGGTGTTAAGATAGCAAGGAAACAGGATGTCAAGGGTGAATGAGAGCCTGGTGAAGGGAATATGATGCTGCTATCTGATGTATTTCCCACTTCCAAAAGCTATTCAGGCTTAGTAAAAGTACTGTTAATTTTGTTGTCTGAGGGATAGATATTCAAACTCTGCTCATCTTCCAGTTCAGTTCTAGTCAATTGCTGTTCACCAGTCAATGGATGTGAGGCAAGCTCTAATCCACTTTAGTCCATTAAATGGTTCCTTGTTGTGAAGAAGTGAATCTATTTGACCCCTTCCAGGGCCTGGGGACACACTTCAACACACTTGAGTGTTTTTGGCTGATAGTTCAACATTTTGACATAAAGGTATCCGAAAAGACTTTTAAAAAGTACTTGTCAATGATATTTTTTAAAAGAGAAAATATGTTAGATCCAGAAGAAGATGCCGAGTAAACAGGACACAGGAATTTTAGAAAGCCATAGACTGGTTTGGGTTGGAACTCACCTTTAAAGATCATATAGTGCAATTTCCATGCCATGGACTGTGACACCTTCCAATAGACATGGGCTCAAAATCCCATCCAGCCTGGCCATGAACACTTGCAGGAATCCACAGCTTCTCTGGGCAACCTGTGGCAGGGCCTCACCACCCTCACAGTACAGAATTTTTGACTTGCTTTTGATTCCTTTTGGTGTTTTATAATAACAAAAGACTGTAGCAATTATGTTTGACTGTGGCGATTATGCTTTATCATTCACTTTAGCCAAGTGATGAACTCTGTTTCTGGTTTCTTTTTTCTTAACTGCAGACAATAAGATTTAGTAGAATATGATGAGGAAAAAGAAGACTCAAGAAGAAAGCAAAAGCAACCAAATGAGATGAAGCGTAGGATCCAAAAAAGAACAGTAGACAGTCTTAATATTTCACTCTTCATAAGTAATTCTGGTTGTATAAGTAATGACAAATATGTTCATGAACTTCATTAACAGTCGCTGAATCTCCTCACTTTGGTAAATGTGTAAGGACATTTGGGAAATACTGAATGTCCTTTACATAGTTCCTTCATGTCCCTCCTGTTGAATCTCTGTGTTCAGATTGTGACAGTCCCCTTATGCTCCCTTCATTTTTAGTAATAAATGAATGTTCAGGTTTATCTTATGTTTTTCTGAGTTGTCCACCTCTCACCTCAGTCTTTCCAAGACTCAGACATTTCACTGAAATAATTTTCAATAATTCATTATGCTACTACTTCTTGAATTGAAGAACTACCCTTTAAGCCACACAAACATCTAGTTCCCAATGGGACCAGCTTTGGAAAGATGCTTTCTCACTGTCTAGGAGTAGAGTCTCATCTCTACTTCAGTCATAAAGAGAGTGTGGATACATTCAGTGCGTAAGGTAGGCATCTAAATGATGCCACATACATGTACCACCTGACTAATGGACAGATCTGTAACTCATGGTGTCCTGTCAGTTCTTGGAATGAAAGACAACCTAGCTTTGAGAATGGCTACCATGTGCAGGGGAGTAACTGGTATTCTGCATTAAATGGATAAAGAATTGAGACTGTAGCTGTAGTTGATAACAAATTTATCTGTGTAATGAACTCCTTTGCTTCCATCCAAAGGTGTTGGCATGAAAATATCAATTACTGCTCAATAGTCTTCAATATTGACTCTTTGGTGTTCACAGCTCTGTCTCGTGGTAAATTGGTTGCAATACACAGGGAACAATTTTTATTCCCACTGCAGCACAGGCACAAATGTTTCAGGATGCTTTAAGCTGATTTGTCTGCTTCCCACTGGAGACAAAGACTGCAATTACCTGTAACATGAAGTATTTTTCCTGGAACTGACAGGTGGAACAGCGGCATTACCTGGTTTCCAAAGCAGTGGAGGAGGTGCAGAAAATCATCCAGCAGCTGACTGCAGAAATCAGCTACAAGGCTGTGCGATTCCAGGCTATCTCCAACTCTGGCATTCACAATGAAAACATTAAGGTATGAACAAGACCTCTAATGCACTCTCTGGCAGCCTGTAGGCAACCAGAAAGTGATTTCTCCATATTGTCAGTGTTTGTATGGGCAGGTACCTCACCCAAAACACCACAGATGATGCGCTGATACCGCACTGTGGAATTCTAGTGACTGGGTCGTTGGCACTCACTCATGGACATCTCACAGCCACAGGAGCATCAAAGAGAGATGGGTAAATCAGGCAGAGCCTCTTCTTACAGCTGCTGTGTTTACAAAGAGCATCTATTGCCAGAGCTGTCAATTCCAAGCAGAAGGCAAAGCTGTTTGGGAGACAGAAGGAAAAACTTATGCAGCAGTAACGTAAGAAAAAATGCTCATACCTTCATGAGCTATGACTCATATTTTTCACAGGTGGAAAAGCTGTCAACTCACAAAAAAAGATAGAAAAATTAGGAGTCCTTCTTCTTCTATGAACATTAGAAAGCTCCTTCTGAAAAAGCTTTTCTTTTGCTTTTTTCTTTGTCAGGATCAGAATTTCTTTTTTATTGGGAAAAAATGCTTATTAGTGGAAGAAGTGAAATACCTCCCCATTTTAGACCTTCAGGTGTGAAAATAATAATGCCCTGTCCCAGCTATGACAGAAGGCTGCTTATTTAAACAAAAGTAACTAGTAAAGACACAAGAAACAATCACAGTAATGACAACTTCAGATGAAAACAATCTTTTTCCTCTGAATTAGTTGAAATACTAATGTCAACCATTATCCTAAACCACAGCCATTTACAGATCAAAACACAGCAAATATGTAAAAGCATGAGGCAACTTTTGCAGCTCTCTGGGACTGAAAGGGAAGAAGTATTTGTATGAAGCTGCTGGAAGTGTATGGAGGTGGAGGCAAAATATAATCACCAAGTCTGAAATGTGACTATTGCCCTGGGGACAAAGACATTCAGATTCATAGCTTTTTTGGAATTTTGTGTATCTCAGAGCACGTGGTCTTGTCAATAAGTATGACCACAGTGACGTAAAGCAGTGCCACTTCCTGATCCACAAGTTCTTAGTGCCAGAGTCTGCCAGCCACCTCTTGTGCTGGAACAAACCTACTTGGCTAATGAGGTCTGACAGGACCAGGGTCAGGGTAAAATTGTTGCTCTGGAAAGCAAAGCACAACAAAACCACCAAGACAATCTATTATGAGCAGAAATTTGGTGTTATAATATGCAGATCTGAGCAAATTCTGCTTGAAAGAAGTCTTCAAGATCTATTTCCTTAAAAGTGGCAGATCTGTTGTTCATGCTTAACTGAACCCAGTGTTACACATCTGTGGAAGTAACACTAGGAGGACCTGACTAATTGTTCTGTATTTATGGGACAGCAAAGAATGGGTTGATGAGAAATTATTCTGGTTTAGGCTGTCTACTACCAAAAATTGGAAACTTTAATACCATTGCTGACATACTTCAACATAGAGGAGACTTGTGTCCAAGGACAGTCAATGTATTCAGTATTCCATGTTTAATTTTGCAACATATTTTTTTCTGTCAGTTAAATCTACAGTGATTTTTCAGAAATTTCAGCTTCTGGCTAAAATAAATCAATTTAACATGGTGAGAGATCTAGATTTGTTGAGAAGCCTCAAGCTCCCTTCTAAATATGAAGGGCTGAGTGGAGAATAGTTAAGAAAAGTCTTTATATATTCAGTGTTTTCCTGTGACCCCTGTAACAAAAAGTCATGCTTTAATGAAAAACCTGAATTAAAATTCAGATTAGCAAAACAGATTATTTAATTTTTAGAAGTTCTAAGTGGTTTTTTTTTTGTTGTGGCCCACCATTTTTGAAGCTGTAAACAGTGCAGGGCTGATGCAAAAGCTGTGGAGTCTTCAGTAAGGTTAAAATTAAGAGGTCCAGACTAATCACTGGTACTGCACTGCCCAATGGCATTGCCAAGTGTTTAATCAAGGTGGGGGCAATGGGGGGATTTTCCTTTATAAACTTCGAGCATCCAAAGAAGCTTGCAGCTTTGCTCTGTGAATGAATGACCTAGCACATGCTTTCTGTTCTGCGTACTTCTTGTTTTCCTTTCTGCTTCTCTAAGGATCAACCAGCTTTACTGGCCAAGTGGTCAGCTATGCTTCGGAGGAAGCGCCCATTCCACCCATCCATCCAGGTACAAAGCCTTCCTGCTGCCTGAGAATCCCTGTGCTTCCTCCTCACATACCCTCTTCTCCAGACTTCACCCACCAGACTGATCCTTCCATGACTGTTTTGTTCTCTGCACAAGAGACCTGCTATTTTTCCTCTCAAAGCATAATTATTATCTTTCTAACCTAATGTTTCTGTCTCCCTGGAACAGCCTGGCCAAGTTCATAAGAATGAGGTTGTATTTAATTTGCCCAGCATACTCTAGAGAGGATTTTAATGCAGCAGAACTGGCCACAAGTTTGACACCCCAGAATTGGAGACTCTTGTTTGAGCTTGTGGCTTTCTGGGTCCCATGGCCTGCACATAGTGTATGAGACCATCGTGTGACAGACCATAGATGTGGGACTGGGAAAGAAGACACCAACTGCCTAGCTTAACAGTGCTATTCCTAGCCTTGTGTATTCTGTTTTCTCGTAAACCTCAGATGGAGGACCCTTGTGACCTGCATTTGCAGGCTCACATAACTTGTGCTGCTCTTCCCTTTACAATCTATTGGATGCCAGTGCATACAATACAACATTTTGGTATGAGGGGTATGCAAATGTGGCTGAGGCTGTGAGAGGAGCAGTAACTGCATGACAGCCATTGTATTTTTTCCTTATGGAGCCTTATTCTCTCTTTCTGAACTGCCCACAGGATTTCTCAGCCCCAGCAAACCTTATGTGTGCAGGTCAGCTTGATCTGCAGTGGCATCCTTTCAGCATCCTCCTGCCTTTATGGCTTATATTTGACAAAAGAGCAGCTTCCTGGTGTTTTCTTTGCTATTTCTGTTCTTCTGACTGGCCATCTTTTGGTTTCCAAATCAGAGAAGACCAGCTGAGAGAGAGAGAGACAGGAGGTGAGTGTAGCAAGGCAGCCCCTGCCCTATGGTCCCTAAGTGAGATAAACACAAGGAGGGCAGCTGGGTCAGCCAAGAGTTGGGATCCTCTGGAAAGTCTGCTGCTAAGTCAGGTCTGAGGTCAAGCCACTCATTGGAGCCCAGGGCTAACCTGAAATGAGTGTCCCAGACCCATGGGCAGAAGGTGTGGGTAGAAGTCCCAGAAAGGCTGCTTAGGGACAATAAAGCCTGTTAGTGCCCTCAGGGCCCTGGCACCTCTGTAGTAATACTTTAAATCAGCTGAGCTGAGCTGAGCTGAGCTGAGCTGAGCTGAGCTGAGCTGAGCTGAGCTGAGGAAGGCTACCAGATTGTTTTGGAATATTACAAGAGAGTGACAAGTGTGTTTTGTTCACCATGGGTGTAACCACCTCACAGCAGTGGTTGTCACTTCACATCCTGCTCGTGCAGAAGCTTCACCTTACTTATGCCAGTGTAAGTTAGGCTCAGTAGCAAGTGGACTTGAAAAGCCCGCATGGTAAATATCTGAAGGAATTTGAACACCCCTTCCGGAGCCACAGCTGCCAGATGCTTCCAAAGTAGCACTTGGACATGTCTGGCTCTGCCCTGGGCCAGACAGATGATGTTTTGTGGTATTTGAGTCACCTTATTCTTTCCTTGAAAATACTGTCTTAGAACTGTTTTTTATTGGAAAATGGTTGTTCCCCAAGTGAGACAAATTAACTGGCTTGCAAACAAGCCTATTTAAGGCTTCCTTGTCCATTGGGTGCTGCCTCTGTCCTTACACTGTTTCTGTCATGCTTATCAGGAGATGCAGTTCCATGTATTACAGCTGGCCAAGACCTGGATTTATTTCTGAGAGTGACACGGCCTCTGTAGGCTCAGGCAGGTCACTTGCCTCATGTCTATGTCCCCTTAAAGGCCAGTCAAGCAGAGTGAAACACTTGTAAAATTAATGGGCCATGGCCTTATTTTGCTAATGTCTGCAGTGGACTTTGAAAGAGATAAGGAAGGTGTACTTTTTGCCAAAGTTATTACTAGTATTGGATTCTGGGTTTATCTCAAGTAACAATTCTGAGATAACAACTAGCACTATTTGGGTTTCCCTTGGCTTTATCCCAAAACATATTCTTTCATGCTCCTTGGAAGCTGCTGGTTATTACATCTCATACAATTGCAGACTAGAAATGACAAGAAAAGGGGAAAAGCATGGCAGGTGTGGTGGCAAATCAGCCAGTGAGCTCTTCTCTTCTAAGAGCTTCACATCAGACACCTTCTAAGATGATTTCCTCATAGTCTGCATGCCTCCAAGGTAACCCTTAGACAGGTCCTGGCTGTGTTCAGTTAGTCCCATCATACTATGGTTTTTCCTTCTTTTCAAAGCCCCCAGTTTTACCTAGTACTTCTTCAACCCTGTTTTCCTTACTTTAGCTCATGGATCTACCCTTGTCTCCTCTCTCAATCTCTGTGAATTCTCCTAGGTCTTAGCACCCAGCCAATTCCTCATCACAGTTCCTCTGCGTGGCCTGACTGGTTACAGGGAATCCCAGGCACGGCACTGGCGCTATTACACCGTGAATGGAGCCAAGCTCCTCTCCTCCGTGCGGGATCCTGAGGAATTGCATCAGTGGCTGGAGGTGGAGCAGTTCTCAAAAAGCCTTCAACAGTGGCATGAAGAGGATGTGAACATCGAAGGTGATCTGGTTCCAGCCAAAGTCCTTATTGTCTTCCGGGAGCTGGTGGAGAAATCGATCGTCTCCTGTAACCTTTCCAGTGAGTTTGGTGGGGACAGGTGTAAGGGAAACCATCACAGAGACAAAGTGTTTGGCTTGCATGGTCAGAAGCTGCACAAAACACTCCAAAACCAGGAAACCTTCAAGCAACTGCAATGATGTATACGGACATGCATTGAAGATAGAATTCAGTAGTTCTTGGGCTCTTTGTACTCAAGATATTACTCCTTTCTTAGGAATTTGGGTAGGTTCTCCAGCAGCATCACCCTTGTAGTTTGTTTGGGAAAAAAATCTTTCTCTACTACAGCACCTGCAATATGTTTAAGTTATCAAGGAAGGTAGTATAGGAAAATTAGATACCGGAAAATGCTTAAGTCTGAGAAGAACATGTTTGAAGATATTTACAGGGAAGTTAATGCTTTGGAAAAACCTTAGCTGCCCACAGCTTTCCAGCATGGGATGGTGGGAACTAAGTAGAAGAACTCTACTGAAGCAAAGTATGTTAGACAAGTGCTCTTTCCCCAGTGTCCAGGCTACTCCTGTGGTGCCTCTTCCCACAGCATGTTTCCAGGATTACTTTATTCATCAGTAGTGTAATGAGTCTTCTGTATTTCTGAGCAATAGAAGCTATTTCCACTCGACTGATCGCTCATGTTAAAGTCAAGCTCTGCTAGATAATGGCATTTTTTTCAGGAAATACTTGTCATAGGAATGGAAAGGTGGATAGGAATTAAATTTCACCATTGAGGCTCACAAGAAGGACGAGCTGGATTTGGCTTGCTTCTGAGGCTTTACTTAGGTGAAAGTTATTGTGTTGTGCAGCATCACATCAAGTTATTGAGTGAAAGTTGAGTATTGCAGGAAAGGTACTTGCAAGGATCCCAGAGAGTGATGTTTGGGTTGATGATTCTGATGCCCTTTTTGTAAGGTCCGCTGGAAGGAGATGGGCTAAGATGAAGTCAGAAGTAATTGCCACTTTTGTTTGTTTCTGTGAAGAATGGACTTCCTTCATCCCACAGTATGGCTAAAGTTACAGGAAAACTTCACTGATTTCTTTGCTTCCCTGTTTTTTTATTTCTTTCAGCACCAGTAAAATCAGTTTTTGAGGTGTCTTACTTTTCATTAGTGGAAAAATAGGTATAAGCATTGCAATGCTTTTGGAAATGCCATGAACATATTTACATGCTGACACAGTGGTTGCTCTAATATTTTTCAGCTGCTAGGGATCCTTGTAAGGAGCTTGGGAACATACCAGTTCCCATTTTGATGCCAGGCTTGGTTCAGTGGGGAAATAGCACATAGATTTTCTGAGGTTTATGAAGTTTTTCTTGGGATGGACTCTACTCTTTGCAAGATAATTCACCCCATGAATTGCTCCTTAGCCCATGCCAATCAAAATGAGGCGGAATAACACACTGCTCTTTAAACTGCTTATGTTCTTCTGCTCAGGCTTTCACTTCAGTGGGTTAGAGGATGAACACACAATTGACTCAGATGGCAGAGCTGAAGGGACAGTGATCCTGCCAGAGTGACTGGGACAGAAACTTCTTCCATGAACTCAACTGGACCAACCGGAAACATCCCACGAAGTCCATTAGTTGCAGCTTTCTTTTCTTTCTGTACTCTTAGATTGTGTTGTTCCTGGAGAAGAGCCACTCTTCTTTCACACTGAGGAAACTTCTTTCATCCAAATCACCTTGGAACTAACTCTTCTTAGCACTCAGCACTTGGAGTGATGTAGCAGTTAGCCTTTTCTGTGTGACTGCTCTGCGCAACAGACCATAAATTCTGGTATGGTCTTCTGTGCATGTGCATCTCCAGAAACAAACCTTACAGATACCCCACAAAACATTCTGAATGACTGGCAGTGTCAGTAAGTGTGGTCTGGCAAGGGTCTGATCTCAGGTTCTCTGAAGGAAGAAAAACATATTTAGAAAAGAATTGTTCATCTGGTCTTCTCCAATCTGCAGTGATCTCCTTGTAGTGTACCATTAGAAATGTTAGGTTATACCGCTTGTCTAGCTTTATTTTTAAGAAGCTGATCCTAGGGTTTAAGAGGACCAACAAAGGGGGAAAAGAGCATGATAACTGAGTGTAAAGTTAAGAACTTTGTTCTTTCATCTTCCTATTCTCATTCCCCAGGATAGACTTACCTAGATTTAGGTTTCTCTTATATTCTTCATGTGTTATTGAGAGAGTGTTAATACATACCAATAGAACTGCAGGGTCCTAGACACCCTCTTGCTTGGCATGTGGAAAAGGACCTTTTCTTTATATTTTCTTCTCTTGTTCTTTCACAGGTAAAGTGACAGTGCTGGAGAGCTTCAGCTCAGTGGTCCGGGTGGCTGTGGAGACATCAGAATCCCAGGTAGAGGTGGAGCTGGTCCCTGCTGTGGAGATCCCAACTTGCTGGCCCGAGAAAGCCCGGTGGCCTCGTTGCCTTAAGCGTTGGCCTTCTCAGGAAAAAGTGCAATGCATCAAGGTAAACAGTGCAAAAAACACCCTTAACTCTGGGATGGAATTTACCTGTCAGGTGTCTGATAGTGTTTTCCCAAAAGAAGAACTGCATGGTGATGGCAGTAGGGTTAGAAGATGTATTCTCTAAAGAGCGAAGCAATGTTTCAAAATATTCTGTCAGATTTTATTTGGATTTTGTTTTCCCCCCTTACAGTGGTGAATTCTATAGAGAAAATATGAGTTAATTTTTTATTGCGTGATGCTGACGTGCATCATTCTTTCTCTGCATCATGTAAGACTTCAGCAAATGGGCTTCTGTCTTGCAGTTTTCCCTCCAACTCAATCCCATCTTTCCCTACAACACTCATGGCTGGATTCTGGCACTTCAGCTCAGCCCCAGCTGCCATGTTCCTGCAGGTCCCATTCCATCTTGCAGTCCTGCTCCCCTCATATGCACAACTTCCTGCTCCACAGCAAAGTGCCTGCAGAGCTGCATCTCTGCTTTAGTGGCACTGCTGGTACTGTGCCTGATGGTTCTGGAACAGGATCTCCCTGCAGTAACTGATACCAGCACACAAGGAAACAATGCAAAATGCATTGTTTCAACTAAGAATTAAGATGGGAGCACACCTCATGTTTGCTGCCTCTGCTGACCCTGTTTAGAATAGGCTTCAAGAGATGTCATACATGCTTTTGTAACCTCTCTGTGCATTGCTGGGAGAAGTTTGCCTCTGATCTGCTGTCACACTTCCCCTGTTGTTCACAGTCGCTGGGTTTCGACCTTCTGGCCCGCTCTAATTATCACTGGCAGCTGTGCTTCTCCCGCGCTGAGCATATTCTCATGGAGGGACTTGATGAAGATGGTGGTTGTCGCCTGAAGTGCTTCAGGGTCATGAGGCAGATGAAGGAAGATGTCTGGTGTGCTGGAAATAAGCCTGTCATCACAGTTTATCACCTTCAGGTAGGCATCACCCTGATTACCAACATACAGTCGCGGGATCTGTTGCAGTGGCTTCCATCCAGAATGTTGTGGTGTAAATCAGTGTAGCATCTGTGTAACTTCTAAGGTAAGTCAAAACTGCTGTACCTTTCATTGCTTTATGGTGGCAAGGAGTTCACTAAATTTGTGTTCCAAACTTCAATAAGAAACTAAGGCCTGTAGGAGCATTATGATTGCAGCAATATAAATAGTCGAGGCCCTTCCTCTGTTTTGACTTCACATTTTACTGTTGTCTGTAATTGCACACTTACTTCCTGCTTCTTGACTACCCCAGCCTCTATATCCGTCTCTCTGGTGGAAGATGGTGATTTTTTTCTTTGTGGATATGCACCAAACAAAACTGTCTTAAGTGAGCATTATTAAGGAATTAGGTGCAAACTACCGCTCTGGTGGTGCTTCACCTGGGGTAGGAAGGGAAGAAAGAGTTAAAAGGGTGGTGGCATCCTCCCTGCACCTATTTCAGGGTTCAAGATAGTTTCAAACAAGATTTGTGAAGAAGAGAGAGAAGACTCTGCTATGACTGTGTCCCCACCTCTCACAGCTGCAGACACTGATGGGCCAGAGGCAGCACCATTTGTTAGATTATAGATGAAAAATCTTGCTTTCTGGGACTCCATCCTCCTAGAGTTGCCAGAGAGAGGCTGTACTTTTCTCACCTTGAAGCCTCAAGCCATTAGGTTCCTACAGTAGTTCCTGATCTTTTGGTATCCAAAACCAGATGCAATGCTAAGATTTCTCCTAAAGAAAAAGCTGGTGACCATCAAATGCTGTTACAATCATGGCACTACTGTATGTCAAGATGGAATTAAAAAAAAAAAATTGATGAGTCTAATTATACCTTAGCTGAATGCAAAACTCCTCAGTGCCTGTAAGAACAACCTGGTGAGAAAAATGTCATATGTCAGACAAAGTGGAAAACCATTTAACCATTAGGAACAATGCTTTTTCCCTGGCTGAAGGAGCAGATGTGCAAGAAGTGCTGTTGCATGGACTCTTGATCAAAGTCAGAAACCATTTAGAAGCTCTTCAGTTCTTTGCTGTAACTGTACTTCCAGCTTTTATGGCAAGAGAGGATTGGTTTACCAGACAGAAAGAATTTTTCAAAATTACTCACATTAAAAAGAAAAACAGGAAAAAAAGAAAAATGAGAGAAACAGTCAGTGGATAAACCAGCAGTCGAACAGAAGCTTTCTGTTAGGTTTCTTCACATTCTCAGGTTTCCCTTGTCAGAGATATCCAGCAATTAGGATTAGACAAGATCCTCTATGACAGAGGAAATCTGCATCCCAGAAGCTCTGAAAGCCAGAGAGGACTACATAACTGCCCTTCTTTTGCTTACCTGCATAGGAATGAAATTCAAGACCTGGAATTCCAAAAATATCAAGGTACATTCTGAAAGCCAACTCTATTCTGTTGGTAGAGAGCTGGCAGTTAGGTACATAAATACTGGGGATAAATCACCTGTTTGGGCACCCAACTGAAAAAGCAGCAGTTTTCCTTGCCTTCAGAAATTTCATTGTAACTGCTGCCTGCTGAAGTAGTTTTAGTGTATCAGACTTGCTTTGCAAGTCTTCAAGGAGCAGCTTTCAGAGTTATAGCTTGAATTCCTCACTATGTCTTTGTTTCCTGGTGACATTCAAGAAAAGGTTTTTTGGTTACTGCAGCTGTGAACAATAAATTTTTCACATTTGAAAAACTGAGAAGAAATTTGGCAGCAGTACAACTACAGATGAAATTCTACCTCTGTAGAAATTCTACCTCTGTAGACAAGTTGAAGGCTGTGGTTCTGCCACTTCTTACAATGTCTGTGAGTCTCTTTTTGGATAGCTGAATTTGCAAAATAAAATTGGGATTCAGAGGACAGTTAAGTGACTTAGCAGAGTTATTGAACACAGGATAGGTGATTTTGTACTTTAAAAAGTTATTTCAGGCTGACTAAGGCAATCAATATGACTTTTTGGTACAGTAAGTCTAAGTTCCTTGACAAAATTATTCTCAGTCATGGTAAAGTTTGAGAAAATGCAGCATGGGCAGTGGAAAAATAATACTGTAAGAGCAATAATCGTATGCATTTTGTTATTTTAACTATGCTTTTCTCAATTGTTAAATTACATAAAGTAATTTTGGCGGAATAGAACATAAGACATGCAGTAAGTATCACATGTCAGAAAAAAACAGGAAGCATTTGACCAGAAAGCAAGCCTTGCACCTGCAATAGCTTCTTGGAATCTCAGTCTGTTTATGATGCAGATCTTTGTGTATCTTCAGCACAAATACAGCTGAAGCTTACAAATAATTATGTTGATCTCATTATGCTCTGTCCTTCCTTGCATCTACTGACTTCTGCCCTTGCAAAATAGGCCATTTTCTACAGCCTAAAATGCCTGACATTTCTACAGAGGCTCCTGCTGGAGGATGGCAGATAGGCCAAGATTATTTTAGCAAGATCATTTTCCTTGGGCTCCTGGCTCAGTCGGTGGAGAGTGGCTCCTCTGGAGAGAGATCCTAACCAGACACCTCCAAGCTGCTCTTCCTGGTCCTCAAGGGAAACTTCAGTTGGGATCCCTCCATTGCAGAAACGTTAACCCAGGGAGGTAGCAGCGCAAGTCTCTGTGCTTTCCAAGGCTGTCAGCCATTTACTAGCACTAAAGGAGCCTTAGTAAGCTGTGTGAGCCCTTGACAGAACCTCTAACACATCTCCTCTCCCATCTGCTTCTTGCAGACGGTGCTATTCTGGACGTGTGAAAAATACCCACGCACCAAGGATTGGCGCTGCTTCCCTGAAGCCTTTCTGAGGCTGGTACAGAAGCTGCACAAGTGTGTAAGCCAGCACTTCCTCAAGCATTACTTTCTCAAGAACACCAATCTGCTCAAATATGCCAACACCAGTGACCTGGACCTGGTGGCCAGCAAGCTCGCAGTCTTCTTGGACAAACCTGTTTTCTGCCTGGACTAAGGCAGGCAAAGGTCTTTCCCCAACCCCAAGTCGATCCCCCAGCTCCTCTCCCCACCTGTGGTTGCTATACATGTCCTTCCAATAGATGTTGCAGCTGGCTCTGTGAGACAGTTGGCACATGCAGCGTGAAAGAGAAGTGTCGAGCTGGCAGCGGTGGGTGGTGAAAACTGATGGGAGGTATCACTTGATGGCCAGCTGATCTAATTTGCTTTCAACATTGACAGCCTGCCTGGAAGCTACAGCCAGTGAAACTCAACTTTCTGTGCAGTCAGAACGGGCAGCTGCCTTGTTCTGTGTCTCCAGTCTTGTGGCACCTAAGCTGAAAGACAGCGCAAAGGAATCTCGCTCTGCTGCCTCTGTAACCTAACATATGTATTGCTGCTGCAGTCACCTTTCTCACAAGGATGGCAGATTTAATTGCCTGCTTACTTCACAGGCCAGCTCTGCAGAGGGGCAGAGGAACACTTCTGAGGTGTTCTGAAGCTGGAAGCTTTCTCAGAGGAAATTTAATTCAGTGAGATCCTCATCCAGTAGGATCCAGTAGGAATTTAACCATGCTGCTAGTGTTGAAGAGCTCAATGGAAGCAAGAAGAGGAACAGTGGGTTTTGCCTCTTCATTTTTCTCTCCTCCACTTATATTTTTCTTACAATTGCTTCAAATATGCCTTTTTCATGTTTGCCTTTGCAAGTTGTGTTACAATCGGGGGCTTTGTCAGGGCAGATTTCACTCCCAACCCTGGCTCTATCCAGCAGGCTGGACGAGGAGCAGGTCTTTCCCTAGTTGTTAGCAACCACATACATATTTTTGGGTGCTGTGCAGAGGGAGAATATTTTTCAAAGGCTCTTAGCTCCAAGACTCTCACGTGGATGTTTCAAAAGAAAATGGACTTTAGTATTTCAAAAGGACAGAGCTTTAGAATTAATATTAAAAACGCTGGATTTGATGTTACTGAATTGCTGAAACTGAACCAAGATAGGGGGGATTTTGAGTTTGGTTTAATTTGGTGGGGTTTTTGTCACATCTGTCCAGGAAAGTAAATCAGTCCTTTGCCAAGGCGGGTGGAAGAAGCGGGATTTGCATCCCGCGCTCCGGGACCTGTACGAGGTGCATCCATGACGTGGCGTCTCCCCATCGTGGCAGACTGCAGTACAGCCACGCGTCTCCAGTACAGCCTCTGGAGCAGGCTGTCTTCTACAGTTTTTGAGCAGAGTAGATAGGGGTCAGGAAGCATCCCAGCTCTATGGTCCTGGTCTGGTCGTGGTCCTGTGTCTCCTGCATCAGATCTCACCACATACAGACCTGATCCAACCATGCAAACTGGCACCCTCTTTGCTCAGATCCTCGGAATACTCTCCAAGTCGCCTTTCCGCATGGGTAACTGCGTTATGAACAGGTTTAAACAGTTAACTTCTCTTGCTAAACCTTTGTTCTCCAGGCTCCCTAAATGGGACACGTGTCAATTTCCTGATGACACCTCCTATTCAAATGTGGCTTTCCTGATTCCTGTGAGCTGAGCTGTTTCAGTAAAGTGCAAGGAGATGCCAATCTGCCAGGCAGAGTCAGGCAGCTGTGGCAATGAAGTAATGTCTCCTGTTTCATCTTGGTTTTGTCTTGTGGTTGAAGGGCTGGCTTCTGAAGTTAGAGGAGGGCAAAACCAGTTCAAACTGTTTGAGGACAGTGCAAAACATTCAGAGCTGTTAATCCCAAATTTGATATTTACTGCTCTGATGTATGGTCCTTTTGGGATTTAGTTGTGGCTGTTGAAGAATTTATCTCCCTTTATAGCTGAGTGAAAAAAAAAAAGTTTCGGTGATGATACCTTAACTTGGATGCAGTTGTGTATCAGTCCTCAACTGCTGGGGTTCAAAGCAAAACCATGGGTATGCACCCTGTGCTGCACAGCCATGACATGGAATGTTGCATTGCTCTGCCAGAATGGCAGCCTCTTACAGCCAGGAATGACTCAACAAATCCAGGAAATAAGCACAGAATGATGGACCTCTGCTTTGAGCCAAAAATTATCTGTATTTGCTCTATTTTCTTCTTGTTTACACAAGCAAATGCATTAGCTAGCATATGCTGCTGCAGAAAGAATCCTTGTCACCACTGAAACATGGAAGGTACATTTTTATTGACCACAAAAACACAGGAACAATCCTGCAGCTTTTTCTCCAGAAGAGCAAGATGTGACACAGCTGGCCACTGGCCAAGGGAAAAGGCTTTGAGGAAAGCACTAACGTGTTCATGGAAGCAGTTGAATACAAGAATTAATTCCTTTCAGAGACATCTTTGAGAATATCTTGTATAATTTTGTGTAGGTCTGCTTGTGTATGTAGGATTTTGTTGTGAGGCAGTTTTTCGTGGTTGTGGGAGAGTTGTGCAGGAGGTCTCTTATTAAAAAAACCAAACGTGCCAAATGTATTTATCGCATTTCTTACCACAGTAAACTTTCTGCAAATAGCTTTTCACTTATACACCAAGCCTAATCACAAAATCATGGCCTCATCCCAAGATTTTCCTCCAAAAAGAGATACTGCATTTTGTTTTGGCTACAAAATAAGTTTTGTTTCATATTTATATTTCTTCTTTTTTAGAAATTAGCATCTGGACAAATACAGACTTTCTTGAAATACATTTAATCAAAAGTTCCTTGTTCAGAACATCTGGAAGGAATGTGATGACCATTTTTTCTCCCTCTTTCATTGCTTTTATGAGTATTTTCTGCATTCTCAGCCCTCATCACAGTCAACATCGCTCCATCTGTCAGAAATTTGAATTGAATTTGTTGCTCTGCTATATAAAACTGAACAAAACTCATGATGTTTTTAGTCTTTTTACACAGCCTGCCTTCTAGTCACTAGAGGGCAATGTCTCTCTGAAGCGCAAACACTGATCCAGGATCTTGCTCTTAAAATCAGCGTCTTGTTATTATCATTGAGCTGAGACAAATGAGCTTGATTAATGTAATGCTTCTGAATTCTGTTGCCGAAAACGAGAGAAGAGACCATAGGAGAGTTTTCTAATAAATAGCAAGACTTGGGTAAAAAGTCTCTAAACTCTGGAAGCCACTCCTACAGCTAGAATATGGATATTTTGTTTCTGATGGTCTTGCAGTAATTCCCAACAGCCTTCGATTGGGAAAGCACCAACAAGTAAAGTGCAGGCAGAGTTCTTGGAAGGAGGGAACTTGCAGGAATAGCCACTGCCCGGCTCCATTAGAGTCCTGCCCTCTTTCTATGAGGCTAGGCCATGACTCCCATGTGTGCCTACCTTCAGGCTCCTTTGTCTCCCTCTTCTTTTCTCTCTCCTCCAGAAGAAAAAAAAATAATTCTTGAAACAAGTTTTCTGATACCACCCCTTTGGCTCTGGTGGGAATGGTCATATTTCAATGCACATCAACTCTCTTTTAATTCATGGGACTCAGGTGTACTCAGAGGCCATTACAGACCATCTACTCACCCTCACTTACACTCCATTTTTAATCTGAAATGGTGCCCAGCAATGAAGTTAGATCACTTTGCAAACTATGTTCCTAGTGGGAGCATCCTGGCCTCTCTGAGCAAAGCTGGGACATGGACAGTGATAACCAGGATAATTCTGCCTTCACTCTATATTTTTCTGCTTACCAATGCTAGGATTTCTGGTTTTGAGGGGAAACATATTTGAGCCAGTTTTCAAATCATGATAAGAGATTCCACTCACCCTATCAGGCCAACCTGTGCCATTACTCTAGGAGGCTGTGGTGCCCTTGACCTCCTCGGGATCTGACTTCTCTAGCTGGAATAATATGCAAAATTTCAAAGGAAATTATGCAGCTCCACGTAGCAAATGTGTTTCAGTCTGTTCTGATCCAAACCATTGCAGCACAAAGAAATGGACAACAATTTTATCATGTTACAGGTACTTGTCAGTTTTGCTTCAAGCAACATCTTTGAATTGAAAGCAAGGACAGGATCAGGACCTGGCTATGAAAGCATCTCCTGGATGAGTGATGGAGAAGATGCACAGATGCCACCAGAGACCAAGCCTATGGAGAGTACAGAATGTATTTTTCACAGGAAGGATTGTCTAATTTACCATTAGCATCTTCACAAATAGAAATTACAAGGAAATGCATTGAGGAAAGAATTAATCAGATTGAAAGGCTTTGTAGTAATCAGAAAAAAGAATGGCATCTTCCTAGGCTCCCCTGGGTGGTGATAATTACCAGCTGCACAACTATGGTTTGTGCCACTTAAAGATTTCTGGACTAAAAATCTTGATATATTTTTGTTTCCATTCTTAGAGAAACCACTCTTGGAATCAGGCAGCAACACAGGCCAGCAGCTCCAAGAAGCATGAACTGAGCCTGGGAGGGCACCACTTTACATGTAGGGTAGTCCAGAGCCTGATCCCAAGCCACGGCTCAGTTGCATCTGGCCCAGCACATTTTTCCTGTTGCCTTGGAGGAGATGGGTACCATTTGTTATCCAGCAACTTGGATAGCCAAATCTCTTCTGCCACAAGTGCAGGCAGCCTTAAACCCATTTGTTTCTGCAGAACATCCAGCAGCAGAGGGCAGGCCATAGCCTCTTATGGTGACAGTATTGTCACCAATACAGCTGGGGAATCTGAAGGGCAAGGCTGCACGACTGCAAGTCCAGGGGGCTAGCTAATGCATTTCAGGGAAAAAGTTTGGTTAATTCGGGAGAGCTTAAGAAAGTCTGGTTTCAAGCTAGTAGTAAACCAAAGCGAAAATACAGCTCAGAGGAAATTTTTTAAAATCTATGGTAAAAAAATCAATAAGGAGATGAACATCAATGTTGAATTCCTGGGATCCCATTTTAAAAGGGTGAGGACATGTAGCTGGGAGGAATGTCATCAGCCACCAAATCCATCTGCTCTTCTTCCTGGTCCCTTCCCCCACATTAACCAAGAGAAGATTCAAAGGTAGGTAGATACTTTGCTGGCTCCTGAGGCAGGCAGAGTATTTCAGACCCACACAGATCATTAGGAGCTTTCTTTGAACTTTCAGTCTAGATGTGTTCACAGCCAGTGCAGTCTGGTTTCTACCAGTACAGATCAAGCTGCTGCTCACGCTCCATGGGGTTTGCTGTCCATGCAACCATCACAAGGGTAATCATAAGCTCCTTTGCCTTTAGCTAAGCGTGATTAGGTGTGCCAAACTGTGGTCTCTTTTTTTCTGATAAAACCTCTCTTCCAGTCCTGCTCTACAATGAGTGTAATTCATCTCTGAACAGATTACCAGGCTGGTTTGCAACCTTCCAGATGGAGTCTCATCAGTATCTGCTGTAAGGGAATGTCACATTGATAATACTAATCCATGTAGTATATACCCTGTGCTGAAGAGGAAAGAACACACAGAGGTCACGTTCCCTTAAAAAAAGCCTGCAACTTCAAAGGAAGAGCGACTATCATCAGTGATTTCCTTGGCAAAGGAAATTAAGCTGGTTGGAAGGCTTGCCGTGGTCTGGTTGTCTTGGAAGTGAACCGAGGCTATGGGCCAACAGCTTCATCATCTCCATAAGGTCTGAGCTCAGGCCAGAATCAAAGAGTCTGCTCCAGCCTGTTCCTCTTTGCCTTTCCGAGGCAACAACCTGCCTGCTCTGGCCTGTAATTCTCCCACAGAAGAGGGATTTGTTTTGATGTTTCCCTGCTCAGTTTTGAGCAGAAGGGTTTTAGCACCCACTTTGAAATAGGGAGTAGCTCTGCAGCCACCTCACTACTTTCCTTACCCAAATGAGGGCCTGAAGAGGGGGCTTGCTTGGGAAGGAAAGCTCAGCAGGTATAAATGATGCCAGAAGCCAAAGCTGCTTGTGCACTGAAGCGTGGTACTTCTGGGAGGGGGTTGCCCTTGGCAATAGCTACTTAGTTATCATTATCTCTGTGCTGGAGGCCCAGGTCCTTGACTTGAACTGCTGTTCCCTGGGTCCTTCCTGTTCCAGTGCATTTAGCACAGCATCCTATGAGTCCTCCAGCAATCTGGGGACAGGAGGCACCCTCCAAAAGTCAGCAGGAGCCTCACAATAAGAATGTCTTTAGGATATCTTCTTGTGATCTCCTCTGAGCTGTTTTGGCTAGTATTAGAAGTAGCAGTAAAAGAAAAGTTGGCAGGCTGGGAAAGGCAGCATACAGGTGGATTTCTCGCATCTGTGCCACCAGAGAGAAATGACCACAGATCAGAGCAGCTCGGTTTCTGTTGTGAGCCCATTTAATAGACAAATTTCAGGAAAGACCCCAGCTACCACCAGTTTTAGAATCAAACTCAGACCTCTGCAGCTCTCTCCATGGCATTATCTACTCACATGATCACATGCACATCCCATCATGAACAGTGAAAACAGTGGGAACATATTAAATACACACATTTTCAAAAATGGTGGCTAGACCTAGTGCTATCCTAAGTGAAGTAAACAGATGTCAAAAACGAGGAGATATAAATGGGTATATAATTTTTTTACAACTGTACCTAAGACTTATTCCCGCACTCCTTCTGTTACTTTTTCTGGAGATATACTTAATGAATAATATATTCTCTCACTGGCTTGATTTTTTGTTCAGATATTGTGCCCTCTTTCTTCTCTTTTGTCTGCCCTCTATTCCCTGGAGACTAAGTACTTCAAGGCAGGAGCCTGGCATACAAAATCTTCAGTTTCTTTGTGCTTCCTGAAACTTAACACAATGCAAACCCTTAGCAAAACTTCAAGTAACAAAGGAGATGCTGATCTAAACAGCTGGAAAGACAACAGAGACTTTCCAGCCACCCAAGATAAGTCCTAGGGTGATAAGGATGCATTTGGGGAGGAGCAGATGGATAAGTGCTCCTTGCAGTGCCACAGCCATGCAAATCACGAATGACATCCCCTGGTTTAGGATGAAGAAGTGCCAGCATTCAGAGGATGGCAGTGCCAGATGCTCGGTATATGGCTTCGGGGAACTCGCACCCTATATCAACAACCAAAAAAAGACGACAGCAGACTGTCTTCCCCTCCTGGTGCCTGACAGAGACTGCAGAAGCACAGTCGAACAGTGGGAAAACACACACCTAGCCTTGCAGCCGGGTGGAGTGATTCTCTCTGCTTCCTCCGGGCCAGACATGGTCCAGGCTATTCCCGGGACTTCTGCACAGCATGATGACTTTGGACAATCGCCTGGACCCATGAGGAACCAGGGAAGCTGCTCAGAAGACAGAGCATTTTGGCGACACTCAGAGAATTTCTGCTCAGTCTACAGCCGTGGTGGGAGTGGGGCAGGGGCAGAAATCCTGGTCTGTCTGGCCAAGCCCACCTTGGGTGTAGTGGCAGCTTGAGACAGTGTTGTACAGGATAGCAGCAACTGTGTGCCTGCAGAAGCTGCTCATCTTCTTCCACACACTCCCAAAATCATCTTTGATGATGAAAGAGGCTGCTTCAAGCAATAGCACCTCGAGTCTTGATGAAGATTTTAATAAATGGTGATGATCATATGCAATATGCATATAACAGATATTCTATAATGTATGCCCCAAACTAGCCAGACCTCAGCTCTATTTTCCTGCATCACTCTCTAGGGCACCATCTCTTGGGCAGAGCCCAAGCTCTCTCCGGCTGTGCTTCCAGCTGGAACTGAAGGCAGCTGCCACTGTAAGTACATTGCAAAATGAGCTGCCTAGAGGAGCAGACTGATCAAATGTTGTCCTCCTGTCACCCTGGTGACTGTCAGCTAAGGTAGCCTGTGCTCAGGTGCTGTCCTTGTGTTAAAGGTTCCCAAATGCAGTGATCCTGCTCCGGAGGCCCTGGAGCTGCTGTAACATAAGAACCGATTTGGAAGTGTTTTCAATTAGGTTCCTCCAAGCACTGAGAGAGGGGAATCTGGATTTGGGACCTATAGCAGGGAACGTCTACAAACATGGGTACCAACCCTCTGGCAAATTGAAATACTTCAAGAGCTGTTAAAGAAACCTCAAAGCATGATCAAAGACCTAAGATAATCACTGCTCTTCATGCTACATGTAAAACAGCCACATGGCAAACTGGACTGATGGAGGTTGGGATGTGACAGAGGTCAGGATGTGGGGATGGCTGAGATTTGGAGGTGGCAGCAGCCTCATCATGCAGCCTGGGCAAAGCCCCTTAATGTGATCCCAGCATAGAGAAGCTGCAGCAACTGGTTGCTTTCATTTGCTAGGATTTAACAAGAGGAAGGTTTTTCCATTCAAAATGGAGGACCACTTCCCTGTTTGTGTTCCAGTACTTAACATTCCCCTTTTGCTTAGGAAACCACAGCAAAGGCTACTTTTGGTGTTCTAAAATTTAATCTCTTCAAACCTTCAACCTACAGTCAAAATAAGAAAATAGAAAATGGCATTTCAACAAATAGTCACTGTTTACATCCAAAATATATGTAATTTATTAAAAGCATTCTAGCA